ACAAATGTTTACATGCATACATACATTTTATGAGCTAAAGAAACAAATAGATGTTGTGAAATACCTGAGCTCAAATGATGACTCTGACACAGGAGGTATCTCAGAAACTTACTGGGTAGAAGAAAATCAAGGAACAGTATAACTGCAGGGGTAGAAATTATACAGAAAGGACAAATAGAGGATATGTTGCTGGGGCAGTAGCACAATACATTTAAAAAAAAAAAAGTCATATAAGGTAAATGATATATTAACAAATGAAATATATTTCTGTTGGATTAAAATTCCACTCCCAAATAGGAAAACCATAGTATTAGGGCTATACTGTGAACTTTCTGAGCGGAGTGCTGATGGCAAATATGCCATGCTAAGGAAGTGCTGAGAGGCTAAGGCAGCAGAAAGTGGAGGAATAAAGGGAGATTCAGTTATACCCATGTTAAATGGGGGCCATTATTAGGAGAGTTGCAGAAACTGCATTTTAGACACTATAAATAACTGCTTTTTGGAGAACTAACCAGAAAACCAACAAAAGGAGAAATAACAGTACCAGTTGAGAAAGTTTCTTTGGAAAGGCCACTCGGCAAAAAAATAACCATGACATACCCATATCAAATATTCTTTCAGGACTGAAATAATCCACAACAGTAATACTTAAAGTGAGGAATGCTATTAAAAAGAAATGTAAAAGAGTAACCAAAAAGGTTAAATGCTTGAGGCAGTACTAAGATTGTTTAAAGATGCTATATTAGAGTCTCAGAGAAAATGTACCTATCAAAATAAAGGCATTTTAAAACATCCAAAAAGTCACCATAGTTAAAAGGCACATTAAAGGAAAATATTAAAGTAAACAGCCTTCAGAAACTGGAAGTCAGCAATTTTCCAATTATTAACCAGTGAATAACCTATCATTTAAAATTGAACATAGTAGCAGAGGAATGGAAAGTAGTAAATGTGAACCTTTTAAAGAGCTCCTGGAAAACTACAAACCAGCCAGTCTTATTTCCATACTGAACAAACTGGTAGAAGCAAATAAGAGAGTAAAATTATTAGATGCATAAATAACTATAATCATAACGCTGAAGACTCAGCATATTTTTGTGGAAGGAAGCCATGCCTCAAAAGCCTCTTGCAGTTCTTTGAAGGAGGCAGCAAGCACACAGATGCATATATCTGCTTGATGTTGGATACCTGAATTTTCAAAGAGGTTTTGACACAGTCATTCAGCAAGGACTCTTAGAAAAAATTAAGTGGTCATGGATTACAAAGGAAGGTCTTCCCAAGGAGTAACAGTTGATTAAAAATGGGATACAAATGCTAGCAATAGTTTTAATTTACCCACTGGAATCCCACAAGCTTTGTGCTGGGATCGCTGCTGTTCAACATATTCAGAAAGTCCTGAAAAATGGTGGAAACATCGTCCATGTCAGAGCTCATGACAAAATTGCCATGCGTGGTCAAAAGAAAACTGGATAACCAGAAGCTGCAAGAGGATCTTACGGTATAGGGTGAATAAGTGACCAAATGGTAGACAAAATTCCATGTCAATAAATTCAAACCGTTGCAAAAACCCTGACAGTCTCTATATATTGATGAGTTCTCAGATATTAACACTCAGGAAAGAGGCCAGAGTTCCCATGGACAGTTAAAAAAACAACGATCATTTCAATGTTTAGCACTAGTCAAAAAGGCAAACTGCAGACTAGGAACTGCCAGATGCAACAATGCTAACGTGCAGCGGGTGGGGATATCTTGACCACTTCATGCAGCTCTGGTCAATTTGTCTCACAAAAGATAGACATTATGATTAAAGGTCTAGAAGCTCTCCTGCATGGGAAACAACTGAACAGCTGAGGATACTTCAGCTGGAGAAGAGATGATTCACATGAGGGATTATAATGGAGGAGGACGGAATCATGGATGCAGTCAAGAAAGTAAATAGAAAACAGTGATTGACTGTGCCCAGGTTATGGGAGTTTGGGGGCATCAAATATAATTATCTAGCAGTAGGTCTAATGTAAATACAATGGATCACTTCTTCACACAAAACATAAATTAAATTGTATAACCCATTGCCACAGGGTATCGCGGAGGCCAACCATGGTGGGAAAGAGTCTCCTATGGCAAATTGAACATAAGGAAGGACATACAGCATAAAACCCTGGAGGTTCTGAAACCTCTGATCTGTGTGCACAAGACTGTTGAACTGTAAAACCTGCCACTGGGTAGGAACGTTCTTACCCTCTTTCCTGCATCATCCCAAGACACCCCTGGATCCACCCTGGATCTTTGACTTTACTCAGTAACTATTCTCATCCTTTGAATCTAGCTTTCCCATCTGCAGGGAGAATAATCTAAATATCTACTGTACTAGGTATAGTACCAGGCTGCAGTACTCCCAGTAGCAGATGTGCTGGCTGGGAGATGGAAAAGAGAGAGAAAGGGAGAGGGAGAGCAGTGTTCAAGGAGAGCTGGTGGAAGGAGAATAAAGTATCGCCAGGGCACCAAATTCACAGAAATATCAGAAGTCTGTCCTGGGGAGTTGCACTGAAGGATGATATGATGTGCAACAGTGTGAAAATACTGTGGGAAAGACCTGTAGGTGGAAAACTCAGAGTCAGTAATAAAAATCTAGTACAAGAACAGTACTCCCGACCCGCTGATCCGAACAGTGATGGGGATCAGACAATGTTAACTGAGATTACAGAAGCTGCAAAATTAGGACAGGTAGTAATAGTGGGAGATTTCATCCACTCATATACATACTAGGTTAATGCTTCACTGGGATGAGCTGTGGAGAAAAACTTTTTGGAAGCAATAAATGGTTACTTGCCAGAATTAACTAGTCTAAATTGTTTGACCCACAAGAAAGGATGCTATTCAGGATGTGGTCTGGAATGATGCATAAGACTCGGTTCCAGAGGTAGAAGTGGAAGAGCCCATTTGTAATAACGCTCACAACGCAATTTTAACTCTGTAGTTGGAGAGAGCGATCTAAATAAATGCAGCAGCACATGGATATTCAATTTCAAGAAAGGTAACTATGTAAAAATGCAGCAATTAGTCAAAAAGAGATGAAAAGGAGTGGTCCAAAAAACCCAAGATGACTACGGCTTGTAGGTTGTTCAAAAATGCTGTACTGACAGTTAAGAAATTGCTGGGCCCATTTGAGACCAATGGGTCAAAAGGGGCATTCAGTGCTGGCAAGACCATAGCAGAGAACCTCAATGAATTTTTTGCATCCATTGCTAATGTTGGTGGCACTGAGACATGTTTCACTGCTGTGTACCAGGGCCGCTGCAAAGCCATCTTTGCTGAGGACTGGGAGGTTTCCAACATGATCCCATCTACAGAGAGGGCTCTGGACGTAACCTTGAGGCCCACGTACCACTGGGCCTGACCTCCACCTTGGGACGTGGCAGAGTGCACTGTGAAGAACAAGATTACTGATGGCATGGAGAAGCACAGCCTCTTGCAAAAAGGTCAACAGGGCTACTGGAAAGACAAGCCCTGCCTCACAGACCTGCTGGAGTTTGGTGAGGGAGCCAGTGAGCACATGGGTAAAGGGACCAGTCAACTACGTATTTTGGGGTTTTCAAACAGCCTTTGACAAGGTTCTACACCAAAGCCTTTTAAGAAACTGAGTTGCCATGGGCATGGAGGAAAGGTCTTGTTACGGACCGAGAGCTGGTGAAAGCACAGGACGCAAAGGGGAGCGCTTAATGGTCGTTTTTCAGCAGCGATGAGCAGGAGTCAGCAGCGAGGCCCCAGAGACTGGTGCTGGGACTGGTTTTCATCCTGTCGGTGACCTCAGGCATGGAGCGGCGCAGTGAAATCCCCAGGTTTGCAGAGGATCCTCAATTCCTTTAGGTGGTGGGATACCTCACCAAAGGTGAGGAAATCCAGAAGGACCTCACAGAACTGAGCAAGTGGACAAATATGTGGCAGATGAACTTCACTGCAGGAAAATGTGGTGTACCCACAGAGAAAAATGATCTGAATCGGGCCTGTATGATGCTGAATCTGGAACAGCTCAGGAAGAAGCTCGGAATCATCGTCAGCAGTTCTCTGAAATCATCAGCTCAGTGTGCAATGGCAGCTAAAAAATTCAACGAATGTGGGCCACTGTCAGCAAGGGTGATCAAAACAAAGCAGAGGGCATCATTTTGACCCTCTGTAACACCTTGCTGCAGCCATATCTTGGGGGCTGCATGCAGTTCTGGTTTCTGCATCTCAAGAAGGACATAGTGAGGTTAGAGAGGGTGCAGAGAAAGATAATTAAAATGACTGAGGGGTGCAGCAGCTGCCGTACGAGGAGAGACTGAAAAGGCCGAGGTCTTCACTTTAGATAAGAAAAGGGCAGGGAGGGTGGATAAGATGGAGGCTTGGAAAATTGTGAAAGCAATGACTTAACTGAGTGTAGGACAGCTGTTTTACCAATCTGCAGCACTAGAACTAGGGGCACTTCATGAAATTAGCAGGAGATTGGTTTAGAATGGACAACGAGTTAGAGCAAATTCACGGGCAATAGGTACAGAACAGGTACTGAAGGGAGTACGTAGGGATGAATGCAACGATTGCGCGTGTTGTGAGAGGACAAGGGAGAGGGACCACAGACAGGAGTTTGAGCCGCTCTCCCTAAACAGCATCAGCTGGAGACAGAATCTAGGCTAGGCAGAGCATCATCTGACCTGGCAGAACATTTTTTAAATTTTTAAGAAATGAAGCGATACTCATAGACAGATGTGTCTAGGAATTGTCGGTGTTGGCAGACAAGCAGTTAATGGTATCTGAAAGCTAAACAGCAAGGTAAGAGCAAGAGGATGGAGTAGAAGAAGGTAAAGCACCAAAATGAAACCTGACATTATAAGGGGAAATGAAGAGGGAAAACAGTGTATCATTATCATGGAGAAAAAAATATAAAAGCTACATCATTCAGTATTTTGGTAATGAATATTTTCTCAGTGTCACCAGTTTTTGTCACAGTAGTTGCTACTTTTTCTTACCTGTAGGTACCAGCAAGAACTTGGTCACAATCAATCAGGATAAACTTCTCCAGAACCTGGCCGGCAAATTTCTTGCCTGCTTTGCTGTAGTACGTGTCTCCACTCAGACATCTTATGCGCATGTTCTGAAACCAAAGGAAGCAGAGTTGGTAAGGGGACATGAATGGAACTAAACTGAAATGTTCCCTTATGCATCACGAATGGCCTCCCTCAAGCAGGAGCTCTGCTCCCAGAGGTAGAATGCAGCAAGACATTAAGTATTCCTTGGCTTCTACATACCAAATATTTTGTCACACTGTCTGCTTCTATAAGATAAAATTAATAACAGGAAATATTAACAAGTTGCACTTAGGTACAAATGCTGGTTTGAAAAAAATTTGGAGAATCCTATGAGCCTACAGATAATTTCTAAAGTATGTAAGACTATACAATTTCTTCCAGATTATTGATAATATTCAACTAACCACACTAGCTGATGGCTCTGCATTTAAACTAAATTTTGACCCATAACAACTAGCCAGTTTCTAATCAAGTCAATGTGCTGTCCTGATTTTATACAGTGACAGGCTTCTTAAAACCAAAACATCGCTCAATACAAAAGATTTACAGAAAGGCATGTCTGTGTTTTTAAGAATTGCTTTTTACCAGTATATTTTAAAATTGTATTAAAATTTTCAGCTGCTGTACTCAGCTGATCCTCATCTGTTTTAAAGACTGCAAAGAAGTTCTCTGGCACAACTTTGGCCTGTAAAACCGACTGCCCGGTACAAAATGGGAAATAAGGCTCTCGGTATCCATCAGGAGCCTTTTGCGTAATGTGAGGGTTTTGCCCATAATAAAAGTTATTTGCACCTCGGCTGGGGAAGGCAGAAGAGGAGAACAGTCTCTGCAAACAGTTACCGGCCTGGTCTATACGATACAGCGCCAAACAAAACATCTCGTGTGTAAATAAACATCCCTAAGGCTGCACCTAGGCCGGCCTCGCCGGATCA